TAAGACTTAAATACCCAAACTTCTGACTTGGAAGAGTGCTACAGCTGTTCATGTTTTCTAGTTTGAAGGTGAATTTATTCAGCTTTTTTTCAGGGTAAAATGCAAAGGGTACTTAAAGCCTTGCATTTAGTCAATTCTAACCCAGGCCTGTATGGAGTTTTGATTTACTATACAAGTTGTTTGGCTTTAGCATGTAACGTGGTATTGTACTGTGGAGAATTTCTTGTAGAATTGTTACTTTTTAGCTATTGCAGTATTTATTCTTGTATCATGAAATATGTGAAAATTCATTAATTAACCCTAATTAATTGAGCAGACTTTGCATCCTTTAGGATCGTGACTGAAACCTGTGAGGTTGCAACAATAGTGTGAGGGAAAACTACGGAGAAATTTTGTTTTTAAATTTCTTCTGCATCTCTCCTGCAGGATAGGTTTCTCTTAATTTTTAATGTGTTTTTCCTCTTTCCCACCCTATTCTAATTTCCTGGGTCACATGCCAGGAGATTGTGAAGATTGTTATTACACCTTCTGTTGATTAAATAGGAAATGCCACTAAATTGCACTTTTGTTCGACACTTTTATGATCCCAGCTGAAAATACTGGACAGAATGAAACTTGCTTGATAGATCAGGTTTTTTAAAAATCTTTGCAGTTGGTTAGCCTGTTTCAAATCCCAGCTCCAGCAGAGGTATGTCATAACATGTCTGAATACGGTTAATTTAAAAATATCTAGAGAGCTGTTGTGGTAAAATGGTAATGCCCTTCTCTCTGGTCCAGAAGGCCTGGGTTCAAGTCACAGAGAAAGGGTGGGTAGGTTTAATGGAGGCCCTTTAAAGACAGGTGCTGATATTACTTATATTTTTATTCATCTTCACAGGATGAGGATAACATGGTCAATATAAGGAAAGTTAGAAAAATAATGAAATAATTAGATGAGGGACTTGTAGAAGCTATTCTTATGACTATCCTAGATTTGCCCCCTTGATTGGGAAATGGATTAGGAAATTTGCAAGAAACATCAGTGGCCATATAGTTGATAGTGAAATGGATTCTAGCTAAAGGTAAATAATTATGAACCATCAGCCTATAACTCTTCTAGTTACTGACAGCTGCAGAATATCAAAAATGGTATAAAAAGAATTTTAAAGTAAATTTATTTGCTAGTCGATGTTCATGCTAGCAGCAAAATGACACGACAAACTTTCCTTAATTTCAGTACACTTGGACAATGAAGGCCATCAGTTTTACTGGGACAACGTAACTATAGCCCAAGCCAAAGATAGACACGCACAGGAATTCCTAGAGGCGTTGTTCTCAACCAGTGATGCAGTTGACAAATGCATAGAATTGGACACCATATACAAATCGGAAATGACACTACTCACCATAACGGACCAGACAGTATAAATTCCAAACGGAGTAGAACAACATTGATTCATTGGAGGCCTCACTGATGACATTACCTAGCATGGTGATGAAACGTCTTTACAGAAACAAGCCTGCTAGGCGAACAAGTCAACAACCTTATTTTTCAGTACTTTTTCTATTGTAGTCTGAAGTGGAAAAATAATTGTTTTTAAAACGGAAACACTACTGAAGGAGTACCGCAGCTTTGAAAGCTAGTGACCTGACATTCATAAGTGCTGTTTACACAGCTTCATATTCAAGCTGTTGTTGAAGTGTAGTTTGCCGATGAGCTGGAGTCAAGGGGTATATACAAATTGAGATTCACTTGAACACAAGTCGCTGACTGGTCTGTGGCCAAGTGACCAGTAATTGATGAGAAAGGCCTTTTGCCTGCCAACAGCTACGTGAATAGCTCTGAGATATCTGAACAGCTTGGGGCTGTGAACAGGATAGTGAGAAGGCAACAGAACTTGATTAGTTTAGGTGCTCTCGCTCTCTGGTCACTGCAGTAAAGCCCACTTTAAGCCTGTTTAAAAAAAAAACCTAACAAAATACCTCCTATAATGCGATAGTTGCATTCTTGTGTAACCTCACACTGTAGAAAATCGCTATAGCTGTACAGCAGAAAGTTCGTGTTATCCAAACAGTGCCCCTTATTCATCAATCCCATTACAGCCAATTTGCTTTAATGAAACACGCATTATAGCAGAACTACCTGTATTTGTATTTCCTTCAGTTGCAGTATGCTGTGATTTTTGAATTAAAATGTCAGAGACCTTTTCTAAGTGTGAACCAGTCACCTTCTATCTCGTGCAAACTATTGAAAGTATCCAGAGAAGGAGGAGCAAATAACAGTATCCTAATCAGCATAAGGACTATCACTGCAGATCTATGAATAGGCAGTACTGAACTGCTTTCCCAGTTTTACCCTCCCCACCCCCCCACCATGAGCATCTGTCTTTTTTTTCCGTCTATGTCTGTTTGTGTGTTGTAAGGGGGAATTTATAACTGGACTTGAGTTGTAACTAGTAGATTACAGGCCAACAGTTCCTAGCTGTTTACCCTTAGCTAAAATCCATTTATGTGTAATGAATAGTAGTTCTTGTTAAGTACTGAAACTTGGTCCGTTCTTTCTCTTTCCCTATTTCAGAAAGGTGGGTACGTTGGTGAATTTTGCATACTTTTTAAAATCGCCAATGTTTGTGACTAGTCTGGGAATAGCAAGGTTTGATTTCCAGAGGGCTACTCCGTTGGGCCTTATGATGGTTCATTTACAGTCATCATCGTAAAGTCATACAGCAAGGACACTGGCTCTTTGGCCCAAACTGGTCCGTATCGACCAAATTTGAGTTGGCAGAAAACTGGCAACTGGAATTCATTGTGGAGAAGTGTGAGGTTATGTGTTGGGGGACGGCAAACAAAGGAAGGGAATACACAGTAAGCAGGAGGGTACTGAGAGAAGTAGGGGAATTGAGAGACCTGGTAAGGTATGAGATGTCTTCTTTTTTGGATGAGTTATTGAATACAAAAACAGAATGTAATGCTGGAAATATCTAAGACACCAGTTAGGCCATAGGTTTGAGTTCTGTGTTCACTTCTTGTCACAATATTAAAGAATGAATATAATTGTTCTTGAGAAAATACAGGGTGACTTTGGAAAGAATGTTGCCAGGGATTGAAAACTGCAGCTCTGTGGAAAGATAGGATAGTCTGGAGTTGTCTTCCCTTAGAACCAAGGAGTGTGAGGGATAATTTAATTAAGGTGTACAAATAATGAAGGGCTTTAGCTAAGAGTGGACAGGGAAGACCAATTTCCCCACAGAGATCAGTTGCTGGGAGATACAGTTTTAAAGTGATTGGTACAAGGATCCGAAACTGGTTTAGTAGTTGAGATAGAAGCATTCAACTCTTTTAAGGAACTTGGATGTGTACCTGCAAAGACTTAATTTCCAAGGCTATGGACCAGGAGCTGGAAAGTGGGATTAGAATGGGCAATGCAGACATGATGTGCCAAATTTTCTCTTTCTGTGACATAGCTTATAAACTATAGAAAAGGTATGCAGTCCGATGTTTTAAATGTCAGCAATTACATTTTTCTTCCATCGTCAATGTGACCCCACTGTTTAAAAAAGGATGAAAGGAGAAAACTGGGATTTACACATTGGTTAGTATAACATCAGTAATAGAAAAATGTTGGCATATTATAAAGGATGTAATAACAGGACACTTAAAAAGTATAAATGGTGTTATTCAGAGTCAACATAGATTTACGAAAGGAAGATTTTTGTTTGACAAAGCTACTGAAGTTTTAGAATAGAATCCCTACAGAAACAAAACAGGCTGTTCGGCCCAACAAGTCCACACGACTCTGAGTGTGGGTGGGATGCTCTTTCTCCACCTACCACGACACCCATCCCTCCCCTTCCCCACCCCCTGGCCTCCTTATCTAAGAAAAGACGTACTTGCGATAGGAGTTCAGCAAAGGGTTCACCAGCCTGAATCCTGAAACGGTAGGTTTCTCGTGAACAGATTTTGTTGGGTTGGGAAGAGGGATGATGGCCAGAAGAAGGCATCATGTTGTCATGATATGCAGTAGTGCATTTTGGACTGCAATGAGAAATTTCTTCCACAGAAGGTATGAAGGTGAAGACACTGAATGTTTTTAAGAAAGAAATAGATTTCTAGAAGGGAGAGGTATGGGGAGAGAGCAGGAGTATGGTGTTGAGATATAGGATCAACCATGATCATGTTGAATGGCAGAATGGCTTGATGGCCTACTCTTCCTATTTTCTATGTTTCTGTAGGCTGTCTTGGTGGTACAGGTCTATAGCCAGAAGCTCATCCATTAAATATGACATCAAGATTGTCATAGTCTGATTAATTTTGCAATTGTTTAGGAGGCACTGGGAGTCAGTAGCTAAAAAACAGAGGTTGTTTTCAGTCCTCGCTTCAATGACATCAGTCTTCCAAATATTTAATTGAAGGAAATTTCTGCTTATTTATAACCAATATTACTTAAGAGGTATGATAAATTTAGTTGTAGAAGTGATGGTGAGGTAGAATTTGGGAGTTGTCAGTGTACCTGTGAAAATTAACAGCCTGCTTTTAGATAACCTGACCAAGGAGCATCGTGCAGGTGACAGATAGGAGAAGCCAAGGCTAAAACCAAGTTAAAGTAAGCTTCTGGAACTAGTAATATTTGACCACTGCTCGTCGTCCTCTCTGAACTTTACGGTAGGCTGTCAAAAATAATTGTTAAATGCAGAGGAACTTTTCACTTGTACGTTGAACATAAATGTTGTACATTTACCCAGTGATTTGCGCTTTTGTTTATTTGAAAAAGAGAAGCAAAGTTTGATTGTTTACAATAATATCAAATTCTGGTGAGTGGGTTATTTCCTTTGAGAACTACTGTGGTCATTTAAGTGATATATTTTAATAACTACAAGAAAATTCTCTAGTACCTAATTTTTATGGTATAAATGTGCATGTGATGAAACGATAGATCAGATCTTCTGGAACATATAGGTGAATGATGATATAAGATGGATATCTCATTGCACATTGTCATCTATTCACCTTGCCCATTCTAGAGTATCATGCTACGTTTACGATGTAAAGCAAAGAATGGAACTCATTTGATGCAAGGGCTGACTTCAGTATCTAATGTCCAAGAGTTAAAAGATAAAGTGGAAGAACTAACTGGAATTCCAAGTGCACTGCAAAAAATTATGGTGGGATTTCCTCCATCCAGTCTAGATCTTCGTAATGGAGAACTGCCTCTCAAAGATTGTCCTATCAAATCTGGTAAGTCTATTGAAGACAAAGTATACAGAGGAAGATTGAAAAACCGATATTGCTTAAAGTAATTAACCTGAATTTTTTATACCTGCTATTGTTATGATGTCAATCAAAATGGCAGTTTTTTGAAAAATTCGGAAGATATTATACTACTTGAACCTATAAATAAGATTTTTAGACGTAATTCTGAAACTGGTTACTTTTAGTTCAAAATGTAACAGCACTTGTAATGTTTATGAAATGAGATTCTAAATTCCTTTGTCTGCTTTCACATTTGGGTCTCTTTATTTGGGACATTCAACTACTGAGAGACCAGGTTTGACTGCTTAAATATTGATAAACTGGATTTGCACTAGATTGTTAAGGATCAGGGAGACATTTCATAAAGTATTAACTAGTGAGTAAGAATTATCCTAATTCAGCTCTCAAATTCAGATAAAATTGACATGTCCTGTTTGAAAACAATATGCACAATTTTCTTCCTTAGCTTTTTCTTATCACTTTTGCTGTATTGTGATTACATTGCAGTAAACTGTATTAAATGTATGCAGATTGAACAGACCAACAGCTTCATACTACTCCTTATATAAAACCTAATGCAATTGTGTAAGCTGCTACAAATCCAACATGAAGGTTCACTAATCTGAAAATGAGATGTATGCAGTCATAATTCTAAATGTTTATTGGTAAGGAAAGTATAATTGAATAACCTCATGTTGATATGGCAATTTTTGTGAAGCTGTATTGTCTGTACAAAGCTTATGTAAGCAGAAATTGATCATTACAAGGGATCTCCGATTTATGAGCATCCGACTTATGACCATGATCCTATACAGGGATGTAATTTTAAAAACTTAACATACGAATGTTTCCTGTATGTGCAAATTGCTATTTTATATCATCCTGTATTGTGTTTTGATTTGTGTACAAATTGACTCACAACCCAGGAACTGCCTGTATTGCTAGTCAGTCTTGTTTTCTGCTCTGGAGCTGGCTTGCTCTTTCATATCAAAGATTGTGTTTTTGTCTATTTTGGTCATACCATCCTACAGAAAAATAAGACCACACAATATTTCATTCAAAGTAATCACTGGAAAAAATTAATATCACAGTTATAAATCATGGTTCAACTGGTCAAGCTTGCTGTCCATAGGTTAGAATTGCAGCTTCCACTGCCTGGAAAATACAAGACTATAAAGAATGATCTGAAAACTTATCCTAAATATAAATAATACCAAGGTCATATGATATCATCATATTGCCCTTGCACTTTGATGTTGAAAGCCATCCTTACAACTCTTTGCAGTTATTTTCTACTTAATAATCCAACAGTTTGGGAAATCCAATATTTTCCATTTGATGCCACTGGGAAAAAAAGCAAAACTTTTATTACATGAATGTCTACTATTGCACTGAATTCTAGTGAGTAACAAACAACCCCAAGTAGTTTTAGTTCTTCTGAGAAATTTTCTATCATAGTGCAATTTTTTTTCTTTACAGGTACAGAACACAACCTGCAATCTCCAGAAAGGCTATGTTTACTAGTTACTGATCCAAAAACGTAACATAAAATTGTATTTTCCAGAATTTTGGATGTTTTTGTATCTGTTTCTTACTGTTGCATGATATTTCACAATGAAAGGATAAATTTCAGTCAGTTGTCCACTAAGTAAGTAGTGATTTTAATTTTTTATTGCTGTGTATTATTGCTGTTGATGATTATCCTCAATAAAAATTCCATGCTTAATTATATATAATCACAAATTCTAGAAATATGTGGAGTGGCGAATTCTGGCCTGTCTTCCCCCACTTTCAGCTCATACCCCCACATCCCTTTTCTAATGACACTGAAACAAGCTGTCATGTGATTTTGTAGTTGCTGGTGGCAGCTGATTCTTTCCCAAGTGATACATCATCATTGTCTGCGAATTCAGGAGGTGAAAACTGAAGGGCATAATAAATGTGCTTCATCATTTTGATAGACATGCATTTCTAGTGGCAAATTCTGTCGTGGAAATCAAGGATAACTTGTCAGTTTTTTATTTTCTAATCAACCTGTTCAGAGATGTTTTCGCACACCTGTGGAACAGGTGGGATTTGAACCTGGGCCTCCTGGTCCAGAAGTAGGGACACAACCATTGTGCCACAAGAGTCCCTACTTGTCCCTTTTCTATCTTGTCCTACCTCATGCAGTCACAATTGTAGCAATCCCAAAAGGACTGATAGTCTCAGCTTAGGCCAGGGATCAACCTTGAGACTTTAGTTTGTATACAACAGTATCATTCTGAGGAATACATTTATTTACTGATTCTTTGGAGGAAATCATTACCAGTAATTTGAAAGCATTAACTGCACAAGATCTACATAACTAAGCATTACTTGATTGATTAGTTTTCATAATTTTTTTAAATGGGCTCAATCAAGGTGTGTGTTGCTCCTTAACCAGGCCAAACACTCTTTTTTGCAATAGTAAAATCAAAATAATTGAGCAACCAAAGAAACTCAACCTCAAGTCCATCCATAAGCAAATAAGAAAGAAAATTGTGCACAAACATCGAATAATTCTTAATTTTCCAAAATGTAGCAGCACAAACTTGTGCAAATAATAACTCTGGTAATTGCTGTTAGACAACTGATTTAAATTCATATATGAATATCTACTTGGGTTAAAACCTGACTTTCTGTTTAGCAACTGTGTTTGGGATATAGGCCGAGTGCCTGCATGGAAGGAATAGGTAGGAGACAAGGCAAACTCTTCTGGTTGGGATCAGTCAGCCAGAGTCATGATGTACATAAGTATAGGCAAGTTGTTTGATACCATTCATCTCTCTCTCTCAGTAATTATTTATTTGGGTTGCTGTGGAGACTGTAGGTGAAGTTGATGGGGAAAATGTTATTGGTCTTATTTTTGTAGCATTTGATTAGTGTGATAAATTGTAATAGGTTGCATGTGAAGCAATATCCTGTACTGGATAAAAGTGAGAGGGATAAAGCAGACATGGATGGACACCTTTGATATATTACAAGGCTTGCATTAAGACTTAATGCAGTGTTTTTCTAGACAGCTAGGAACATTGTACAACAAAGTCACTATAATCCTACCAGACCGTAAGGCTGCTCTCTCATTAGAGGGATATGATTGGGGTTAGCTCGGTTGGGTGGATAGCCAGTTTTTGATGCAGAGTGATTATACAGTGTCCAACTAGTGACATGTCTCTCTAAGCCTGCAAGGATGTACGGGTGAGTTTGCATAAAGGCTCGTTGTTCAGACTATGTAGTTCTTTTCTGACAGTTTCAATCAAAGCGAGTGTGCAGGTCCCTAAAAAGCTTTTCTGCACACTAGAAATGGCTTTATTCTTTCATGCTATATTTAAGCGTAATAGAAATGTTTATTGGGCAGTGTGTGACCTTAGAAGCACGATAAACCAGTAATGCCTGTAAATATTGAGTTTATATGTAACTGTAAGATGAATTGAGCTGTGTGAACAAAGCTAAATATCCCAATTTTCACATGACAACAGTGACTGTATTTGAAAAGACTATTTCTTAGTTATAAAACGCTTTGAGATACCTTTTGGTTATGAAAAACCTTTATAATGCACATTTTTTAAATTCTTGTCCAAAAATGAGTGACAAAATTTTATTTAAAATCTCACATTGGACGACATTGTGTATTTTTAAATTTTCTGTAAATTGTTACGTACTAAGCTGATTATTATGTCACCTTTTAATAATTTGCTGACAGAACCAAAGTAAGATTGCATTAAACATATCACTATACTTTTTTGCAGGTGATACTTTGATTGTGGAAGAAGAAAGCGATACTTTGAAAATTAAAGCCTCGGTGTCAAAATTTTTTGCTAAAAGTTCGGATAAAGATACTTTCCCACAGCTGATCCGGCATGTTGTGCCTGCAGATAATTCGTGTCTCTTCACAAGCATCAACTATGTGGTAGAAGGAGGTGTTTGTGAACCATCCTGTGCTCCAGAAATGCGAAGCTTGATAGCGCAGATTGTAGCAAGTGATCCTGATTCCTACACTGAAGCTGTACTAGGAAAATCTAATTGGGATTACTGCAACTGGATTCAACAAAATGACACTTGGGGAGGAGCCATTGAAATCTCTCTCTTATCCAAGTTTTACCAGTGTGAGATTTGTGTTGTGGACACACAAACTGTACGAGTAGACAGGTTTGGAGAGGACGTAGGTTACACAAAACGTGTCCTCCTGATTTACGATGGAATCCATTATGACCCATTAGAACGTCGGTTTGAAGATCCTGAAACACCCCCACAAACCATCTTCTCTACTGCAGATGATGTTGTGCTTGCCCAAGCCCTGGAGTTGGCAGATGAAGCAAGAAGGAAACGACAATTTACTGATCTCAATAAATTCACCTTGCGATGTGTCATCTGCCAAAAGGGGCTGGTGGGTCAGGTAGAGGCTAGGGACCATGCCAAAGAGACTGGGCACACCAACTATGGGGAGGTATGACAACAAAAATAATGTTACCTACCTCATATTCCTAAAATGTACTGGGATAATTAATCCCTAGGAATTAAATGGAATTTTAAGGGGTGATTTTTTTTTTTTTTTAAAAGCCCTGGGATGATTAAACCATGAGCTGATCAAACTGTTGGTTGTTTGCAAAGGTCGGACCTCATTCTTGATTTTTCTGTTTACATAGTAGGAATAGTATTTGACACTTTTCATTAATTTATTTAGTGAAAAGATAAACATTCTGATTTGATAGCTATTGAAATTAGTTAATCCAATAGAGTATTAGGTAACTGAATATTATGGACACTGATAAGTTTCTTCAAGTCTTAAATTTGGGTTGCTTTTACTTCCACGGAGTTGAACATATCTGCAGATATCATATTTGGAAAACGTTTTATTGCATAATGAGTAGAAAAATGAGCTGTAAATCTATACTTTTTTGTAAATACTTATTTTAGAAGACTAGTATGTTATATTGTAACATAGTCCTATTGTTTCAAAGTATATGTTTTTGTGTTTGACAACCGTTTTGTGATCAGCTCATGGAAATCACAGGTACATAGTTTAATAACTACCTTAACCCTGACTTATATCGACATATTTGGGGGTTACTTTTCATACTTTTAAGTTAGTTCTTTTGAGTTAACATTTTCTCAAGAGTTTCCTAATTACTTGCACACCTAGCAAAAAAGGAGTTTCTATGAGCAAGTTGAGATTCTTCTGAACTGAAATCTGCACCCTTCATATCCTATCACAGGACTAATCATTAATCTCTCGACTATGATATAATGAAACTGCAAATTAATAATGTTCAACATGTGATTCTATTGTTGAAAGTCGATAGATATTACATCATCAGCCTGCTACGTTCAGCCACAAATAATAATTTATTTCCAATTATGAATGTGCAAGCAGAAAAGGCTATTACTAATAATACATAGACTGAACCAAAAATTGGATTAATCTACGAGTAGCTAAAATAGCTGAAACTCCAAGGGTGTAAGCTTTGAATATTTCAGTGTGAAGTTTGTATATGGCCAATTTAGTTTCAAGTGCTAATTATCAAAAGCTAAACTGAAGGCATGTCAAAAAGCAGGGTTGTGAACGTTCAGAAGCCCCAGAATTATTAATGAATGAATCAAGTACAAATACCCAATGGTGCCTCAGCATACAATTACTTGACAAGCTGCAATTTAAAAAATTGTCATCTGATTTGCACTTGAGCGAATTTTTTTGTGTAAGCTGATGCATTAGTAAATGTAAGATCCTGCCTGCATCCCGTGAACAACTGGCTTTCGTCTCTATCTTAGTGAGGAAAATAGTTTGTGTCATTGACATTTGTGGATAATTCAGGATAATTATATGCATTGGTTATCCCTAAATTTGGACAAATGCTTTAAAAAGTGACAGTTATGTAAAGCTAGCTTTTCTATTTGAAACAGGACTAAATCCTTTTGTCATTACTTGACATGTGTTCACCAGAAAGCAAAATAAGTGTTATTCCATTTGAATGCTTGTAGGTCAAATAATATTTGCGGATTTGTTTTTAGATACTTTTTAAAATGACTTATCATGGTGAAACTTTACGGTGATCTTAAATATTGAAATAAAATCACCAAATGCTGGAAATACTAAGAAGGTCAAACAGTATCTGTGGAGGGAGATGTTTCA